TTAAGGCGTATAAACGTCATAGTATAGTGAGGATAAAAAATGGCAAAAAACATCATAGTATAGTATGGCAAAAAAATGCCTACAAACGTCATAGTATAGTATGGCAAAAAATTTCAAAAAACGTCATAGTATATTAAGGCTAAAAAATGGCAAAAAACGTCATAGTATAGTATGGCGTATAGACGTCATAGTATGGAAAGTCAAAAAATGTCATAGTATAGCAAGGCAAAAAATGGCAAAAAACATCATAGTATAGTAAGGCGTATAAACGTCATAGTATAGTGAGGCTAAAAATGTCAAAAAACGTCATAGTACAGTATGGCAAAAAATGTCAAAAAACGTCATAGTTCAGTATGGCAAAAAAATGTCAAAAAACATCATAGTATAGTAAGGCGTACAAACGTCATAGTATAGTGAGGCTAAAAAATGTCAAAAAACGTCATAGTATAGTATGCCAAAAAAATGGCAAAAAATGTCATAGTATAGTTTGGCAAAAAAATGTCAAAAAACATCATAGTATAGTAAGGCGTATAAACGTCATAGTATAGTATGGCAAAAAAATGTCAAAAAACGTCATAGTTCAGTATGGCAAAAAATGTCAAAAAACGTCATAGTATAGTATGGCGAAAAAATGTCATAAAACATCATAGTATAGTAAGGCTTATAAACGTCATAGTATAGTGAGGATAAAAAATGTCAAAAAACATCATAGTATAGTATGGCAAAAAACGTCATAGTATAGTAAGGCGTATAGATGTCATAGTATATTCAGGCTTAAAAACGTCTAGAAAACGTCATAGTATAGTATGGCAAAAAATTTCAAAAAACGTCATAGTATATTAAGGCTAAAAAATGGCAAAAAACGTCATAGTATAGTATGGCGTATAGACGTCATAGTATAGAAAGTAAAAAAATGTCATAGTATATTAAGGCAAAAAATGTCAAAAAACATCATAGTTTAGTAAGGCGTATAAACGTCATAGTATAGTAAGGCAAAAAAATGTCAAAAAACGTCATAGTATAGTATGGCAAAAAATGTCAAAAAATGTCATAGTATAGTATGGCAAAAAATGGCAAAAAATGTCATAGTATAGTATGGCGAAAAAATGTCAAAAAACATCATAGTATAGTAAGGCGTATAAACGTCATAGTATAGTATGGCAAAAAATTTCAAAAAACGTCACAGTATAGTATGGCAAAAAAATTCAAAAAACGTCATATTATATTAAAGCGTATAAACGTCATAGTATAGTAAGGCAAAAAATGTCAAAAAACATCATAGTATAGTAAGGCGTATGAACGTCAAAGTATAGTATGGCAAAAAATGGCAAAAAAACGTCATAGTATAGTATGGTAAAAAATGTCAAAAAATGTCATAGTATAGTAAGGCAAAAAATGTCTAAAAACATCATAGTATAGTAAAGCGTATAAACGTCATAGTATAGTAAGGCAAAATAACGTCAAAAAACGTCATAGTATAGTAAGGCGAAAAATTTCAAAAAACGTCACAGTATAGTATGGCAAAAAATGTCATAGTATAGTATGGCGAAAAAATGTCTAAAAACATCATAGTATAGTAAGGCGCATAAACGTCATAGTATAGTAAGGCAAAAAAATGTCAAAAAACGTCATAGTATAGTAAGGCGTATAAACGTCATAGTATAGTATGGCAAAAAATTTCAAAAAACGTCACAGTATAGTATGGCAAAAAAATGTCAAAAAACGTCATGGTATAGTATGGCAAAAAAATGTCAAACAACATCATAGTATAGTAAGGCGTACAAACGTCATAGTATAGGGAGGCTAAAAAATGGCAAAAAACGTCATAGTATAGTATGGCAAAAAATGGCAAAAAATGTCATAGTATAGTATGGCGAAAAAATGTCAAAAAACATCATAGTATAGTAAGGCGTATAAACGTCATAGTATAGTATGGCAAAAAATTTTAAAAAACGTCACAGTATAGTATGGCAAAAAAATGTCAAAAAACATCATAGTATAGTAAGGCGTATAAACACCACAGTATAGTTAGGCTAAAACATGTCAAAAAACATCATTATAGTACGGCAAAAAATGGAAAAAAACGTCATAGTATAGTATGGCAAAAAATGTCAAAAAACGTCATAGTATATTAAGGCTAAAAAATGTCAAAAAACATCATAGTATAGTAAGGCGTATAAACGTCACAATATAGTTAGGCTAAAAAATGTCAAAAAACATCATAGTATAGTAAGGCGTATAAACGTCACAATATAGTTAGGCTAAAAAATGTCAAAAAACATCATAGTATAGTAAGGCGTATAAACGTCACAATATAGTTAGGCTAAAAAATGTCAAAAAACATCATAGTATAGTAAGGCGTATAAACGTCACAATATAGTTAGGCTAAAAAATGTCAAAAAACATCATAGTATAGTAAGGCGTATAAACGTCACAATATAGTTAGGCTAAAAAATGTCAAAAAACATCATAGTATAGTAAGGCGTATAAACGTCACAATATAGTTAGGCTAAAAAATGTCAAAAAACATCATAGTATAGTAAGGCGTATAAACGTCACAATATAGTTAGGCTAAAAAATGTCAAAAAACATCATAGTATAGTAAGGCGTATAAACGTCACAATATAGTTAGGCTAAAAAATGTCAAAAAACATCATAGTATAGTAAGGCGTATAAACGTCACAATATAGTTAGGCTAAAAAATGTCAAAAAACATCATAGTATAGTAAGGCGTATAAACGTCACAATATAGTTAGGCTAAAAAATGTCAAAAAACATCATAGTATAGTAAGGCGTATAAACGTCACAATATAGTTAGGCTAAAAAATGTCAAAAAACATCATAGTATAGTAAGGCGTATAAACGTCACAATATAGTTAGGCTAAAAAATGTCAAAAAACATCATAGTATAGTAAGGCGTATAAACGTCACAATATAGTTAGGCTAAAAAATGTCAAAAAACATCATAGTATAGTAAGGCGTATAAACGTCACAATATAGTTAGGCTAAAAAATGTCAAAAAACATCATAGTATAGTAAGGCGTATAAACGTCACAATATAGTTAGGCTAAAAAATGTCAAAAAACATCATAGTATAGTAAGGCGTATAAACGTCACAATATAGTTAGGCTAAAAAATGTCAAAAAACATCATAGTATAGTAAGGCGTATAAACGTCACAATATAGTTAGGCTAAAAAATGTCAAAAAACATCATAGTATAGTAAGGCGTATAAACGTCACAATATAGTTAGGCTAAAAAATGTCAAAAAACATCATAGTATAGTAAGGCGTATAAACGTCACAATATAGTTAGGCTAAAAAATGTCAAAAAACATCATAGTATAGTAAGGCGTATAAACGTCACAATATAGTTAGGCTAAAAAATGTCAAAAAACATCATAGTATAGTAAGGCGTATAAACGTCACAATATAGTTAGGCTAAAAAATGTCAAAAAACATCATAGTATAGTAAGGCGTATAAACGTCACAATATAGTTAGGCTAAAAAATGTCAAAAAACATCATAGTATAGTAAGGCGTATAAACGTCACAATATAGTTAGGCTAAAAAATGTCAAAAAACATCATAGTATAGTAAGGCGTATAAACGTCACAATATAGTTAGGCTAAAAAATGTCAAAAAACATCATAGTATAGTATGGCAAAAAAATGTCAAAAAACATCATACTATAGTAAGGCGTATAGACGTCATAGCATAGTAAGGCTAAAAAATGTCAAAAAACGTCATAGTATATTAAGGCTAAAAAATGTCAAAAAACGTCATAGTATAGTATGGCAAAAAAAATGTCAAAAAACATCGTAGTATAGTATGGCAAAAAAATGTCAAAAAACATCATACTATAGTAAGGCGTATAGACGTCATAGCATAGTAAGGCTAAAAAATGTCAAAAAACGTCATTGTATATTAAGTCATAAAAACGTTAAAAAAAAACGTCATAGTAAAGTAAGTCACAAAAATGTAAAAAAAACGTCATAGTATAGTAAGGCATGAAACGTAATTTTAACCCAAATATCTATAAAATGATAAAAAAGGATCAAATGAAGTGATGACATTTTATATCCAAATGATCAAAGTTTAACGTCACTGTGACATCAAAATGTTCATAATGCACTTTCATTTTTCAGTGCCGTAACTCAGGAAGCAGAGACTGTGACCACAGTTCCTCCAACTTGGCTGGTTGGTGGAGGTATACAACCACAAGGCTTTAATTCTATTTTTTCCTCTGGTATTTTTGTAGCGGTTACAAAAAAGCATTATCACCACTGTCTGGGCTGGAGCAGGGCTGGCCTTGACCAAGACAAATTGCAATCAGATCTGTGATCTAATGAAGACTCATTAAGCATAATAGAAAGTGTATTAAATCGTATCTGGATTTTATCTGGAGCATAAATGTTGTCTACTGTCTTTCTCTTCTCCCAATTACTACATAAATGCTCACTCCAAAGACAATGTGACAGTATATGTAGGGCCCTTTGAGCTGTTGTCTCCACCAGTCCACTCCACTGAAGTTTTTTTCTTGTAACTCACATTGTTTTACTTTCCAGTTTGTACATCTAATTTGTGCCATGAGTTGAAAAGCTCTTCAAACTACCCCCAAAAAAGTTGGTACATCAAAATCCAAATGTTTGAGCTAAAAAAACTCCAACACTTCAAAAGCTGTTATTTTACCTTCCAACAAACATTGCACAAATCATATCATACTGCAGGGAAGTTATTGCTTATTTGAAAAATGTTACTGTCTCATCATAATCATGGTTTAAAGCAAACATTAAAAACTGTATTACACTGTTTGCTTCAGGCACAAAGTTTCACTGCCTATTACACAGGCTGTTTACTGGCTGGTTCATTATTGAATCTGTCTCCCTTCACATAAATGAAGAGGAGGATCTGTGCGTGACGTATGATTTATCTGAAAAACACTTTTCAGATGTTAATGTCGACTCATTAAGCTGATTATATGCTCCTCTGTTTTCTTCCAGCATGGCTAAAGGATTCATGTCACTGCTTGGATTTGGTGTCATCTTTATCGTGTCAGTGTGTGATCCCAGGGTAAATAACACAAACGCTAATAGTAATAAGTGCAGATTATTATGTTGACGGTAATGAACTTCTCGACTGGAATTCCAGCAGTCATAAGTGTTTTCTGTTTTCTTTAGGGTTTTGTTGTCATGTTGGACAAAGTTGTGTCATTCTCTCTCAACACCGAAGTGGGACTGTTTGTTTTCATCATGCTGAGAGAATCCAGAGAAGACAGATTCCAGTGAGTACCTTTGCTTTTTCTAAATACATCTGTAATGTGGGGCCTTGGGCTGTTTTTTGTTGGATAAATGACAGTTTCTCATCACATTTCACTATGGACTTAAGTATGAACTTTAAAGGAGTTAATTGTAAGTTTTGCTATTGCTACATAGCTAGCGTTAGCAGCTAAGGCAAACGTTGCGAGTTCAAACCACATTCCTTTACTCACCAAGAGCTGTCTCCAGCACTGGAAAGCAACAAGAATGTTAACTCTTGTCTCCATTACATCACACCAGCTAGCCGTCTTTTTTAATCACTTTCTGATAACAACTCACTACAGCCTCCAGTCTGCTGCTCAGAGGGCGTATTATAACCTCTTGTCTTGTAAACGCAATGATGTCCAAAGTTCTTGTCAAGCGACAATTGCCACAGAGAAAACTTACAAATAGCCTGTCTGCAAATTCCTAATATCTTAAGTTTCTGGAAAATTTTACTAGATTTTACTACAGACAAGGATACATTTCAACATATAGTATATGGTCAATAAAGTTACAAATTACAAGTGTAGGAAAAAATCATTATGGCATTGATCAGAATTATCATGCAGAACCATTTCAATTATTTGACCAGTGATATAATTTCAGAGTCAGCACAATAAAACTAACTGTCTATGACCCACAAACGAACTGAACGTAGGTAGAAGAACCAACACAGGAGTCGGATACGTGAAGTGACTAAAAGTTACAGAAAACAACAACTTTATCCTTAAAAACATTTATTGCTACAGACTTCTAACAAAGTCTGACACAACAGTAACACAGCAAACACTACACAATTATGCTACTGTGAATGAAAATGAACGCAATACTGAAATTCGGCAGGGAAAGTATGCAATGACAATTTCTGGTACAAGTTAGAATACAAATGTACACATTAGAAAAGGAATGAAGTCATGGCATGTTTTAAAATGACATGTTTTCTTGAAAGAGTCTCTGGAGCAGAGAAGAGGAGAGGCAACCGGAGGGAGGGGGTTCTGAGATATCTGGGGGAGTAGCTGTGAAGAGGTCATGTGTTCAACATTGAAGTGTGGAGGTTCTATCCTCACTCTGTCAAGCTCAAAAGACCAGTGTTGAATTTCCATTTGCCTTTTAATCCCATCTTGAGATCCTTCTGTATGTATTTCCATGTAGGCTGAAAGACAGTTTTAGAGGTCAACCAACAGTCAAAGCAGGGCAGCAGCCCCCTGCTGCTAGAAGGGCCTCTCAATTGTGACTCTCCAGGGCCATTAGCAGTTGATCCCTAATCCCATTTTATCTCTGTTTGCTCCAAAAAGGTCTTTGAATGCAAACACCAGGCCTTGCAATTAATTTACAGCTGTGGGTAAGGCGTTGGGGGAGGCATCCGACATAAATCTGTCTCTGTGCTCTGCTATTTTTAGGAAACATATTAGGAAATAATGATAAAGCATAATAATACAGCATAATAAAAAACATCACAAATGAACATTATGCGAATAGATCTGACAGCAATGAAATATGTAAAAACAATAATTAGGGATAAAACAATATAAATAAAACACAAATCAGACATTGCATAAGGCTAAGACAAAGAAATGTGTGTTAAGAAGAGATTTAAAGGAACTTAAAGAGTTACAGTGTCTGATTTGAGTAGGGAGAGAGTTCCAGAGTGCCGGGGCTCTAATAACGCCCGGTCACCTTTAGTCACAAGCCTTGACCTTGGGGTGACCAGCACCTAATAATAAGAAATAAGTAAATAGCTGCTTGTAAGTTGTGATTTGACTCTAACATAAAGTTTTCCTCCATGGCACCTTTCCATGAAATTAAAATAAACTACATGTCTAGGAGATCAGTCTATTTGGTGCGGTCTGATTTCAAAACAATGGGATCTCCATTACAATTGAAAATAAAGTTCTGTCAGTTTGATTGTTTGGTTGCACAGATGAATAATTTAACATAATTTATTATGTCTGCGCATTATGAAAGGAATGAAATGCCCCCTTTCTCTCTCTCTCCCCTTCCAGACACCTTGCAGTCCCTCTGCCAGTGGGCGACTGCGTCTTCAGCCTAACCTGGCTGCTTCCCACCTACTTCCTATTTGCAGTAACCTATGATGTCCTGCAGACCCTGGCCGATGTGGCTCATTACCTGCCTTTCTACAGCCACAGTCATGAACCACACGACCAGAATGTGACCGGGAGCTCAACAGCAGCCAACCTGTCTGTGCTGCTCTGATCCTCAAGCAGCCACATGAGAAAGATGGACCAGAATGAGTGGTAATTGCCAAAAATCTAAAGCTTAGCAAAGTGCTTTTTATCTTGTATTCATACTTAACAAACTCTTGATACAATCTGAAAACTTTAAAGGTAAGCATTGTGTTTTTGCACTTTCCCATGATGACTCAATCTAATAGTGTGCCAAATGGTGCAAGACCTGTAGGGGTCACTCTTTTCCTTGTCTAACCCCAGTGGCCATCTCTGTTTATGTACTATACAAGTGCTTTTCTTTTCTTATTGTTTTGTTAGTTGTTTATTTATTTTTTATTATTTTGTTTTGCTTTATTTGTTTTTTTCAACTGAAAACATTCTTGTGTGACAGGATTTTCCCATCAGACACCTGGAGCCAGATGTATAAAGGTGTACGCACAAAAAACATTCATACACCATTTCCCATGCATTAGCTTGTGATGGTGAAACTAAATGTGTGCATCTCACAGATACTTCAAACCAGGTGTACACATTGATTATTAGAAAAATCCTCAGTTTGGTATTATAAGGCAGAGATGAAAAACATGACGAGAAGCGAAATCGTATAATAAAACATTTAGATTGTTTTCCACTTTCACTTATTCTGTATAATGTTTGGTTTTTTGGGGGTTTTTTTGGAGTTTACACAACAGTCTGTAAAATAATAATGCAGCCACCGCTTATAATATCAGTTAGAGTAATATACTCATCAAGGTAATTGCTAAGATAACAACATAGCTAAAGCCAAATGATTGTAAATGGCTGTAAACACGTGGTGAGATTATCATGCCAGAAACTATTTTATCTTTGGTGCTACAGAGACTGAAAATGCACTCAGCTGAACTGCAGTGGAAAGTTTAGAAAGACTCAACTTTATTCAAATATCCTCTGATCCAGTGTGAGTGACAGCCAGGCGAGAGCCAATCACGTTCATTTTAATTCCAACGTAACCTGAAGCACAGACTTATTTATCGCTGCACTTCCAGTGGAGATACAGGACTGCAATACTAATTAGGTTATATCAGTTTCAACAACGTGCAGCACAGAGCTGTCTGCTGTGGTGCAATGCCAGCTCCCATTCACAATAAACAGCAGCCTTCGTGTCTGCATGTTTGAATGGCCTGTAAGACAGATAGAGTAGACACAGGTACTGATAAAACACAACCATGTCTGTCAGATTTATAAAAATAATAAATACTATTAAATAAATAATAAATAATAAAAAATAAATGCGCATATTTCAGTCTTTGTGCATACAAAGATCTATGCATCTGGTCCCAGGTGTTGAATAACTGTAATTATAGCTCTATATTTACACATGTATATATATTTTAATTAAATACTAAAGACTATAATATACTGTAAGCTGAACCACTATCAACGCACCATGCAGAGTATAACAGTTATTTAATTGAGAATGTATATTATTAGGTTCACTTAAGCTCTATCATCATGAAATTAGTAGGTTTTACAGCTAATTGTTTGAGGACATTGTCATGTGGGTTCCTTAGACTCAGAGGACTCGCTTCATAACCATGATTTGTCACGAAAATCTAAATCATAATACTCTACTGCAGGGGTCCCAACCTTTTCTTCACCCACCATTGGTGGTGGTTCCCATTAGTTTGTTTGCAAGTTCACATGCATGTTCACAAATCCACCAAGTTTTCTCCTCCTAACACAAAAATAAGCCTCAATATCAAGTCAGAAAATGACAGAGTGATACAATTATTTTTAGAATAACTAGTTGTGATCCAGTGTGACCTTTCAAGTGGGGTCAGGGTGAAGGAGATAGAGGAAAGACAGAGGAGTGGGGTGGGTGGAGAGAAGGAGAGAGTGAAGGAGACAAAGAGGGAAGGGGGTGGGAGAGAGGTGGAGAGGTGAAGGAGGGAAAAAGAGTGAGCAGCCTCCTCCTCCTCCTCACTGTCGCTGTCATACTATCACAGACTGGGAGTTGAGCAAGATCACTTCCATTCAGAGGTGGATTTTTTTCAGGCTGCTGCTTCTGGACATGCGGTTACGCTCAAACTCTCCTGTCCTTACAGGCCTCCCACTTGCGCTCCTCCAGCCTGTTGCTCTCCATCTGATCCTGGTTCTTATCTAGTCTAAACTTCAGTATCTTCTGCAGCCACTGCTTAAAGGATTTTGGTGATGCTGCTTTTTCAGAAAATGATGTGGAGGCAGTTGGGTGAAGTTCCTCTTGGAGAGTCTCACAGCCTGGCCTCTAAAGTGAAGAGCCAGGACGTCAGGCACTTTAAACTGGCTCTGTTGTCCACTGCTTGCACACAGCAAAACTCAAACCACGCGCCTCCTCGCACATGATTGACTGCTCCTTTTCCTGAACACTCAGAGTGAATCTGAGACTTGTGATGGGCTCTTCCTCCTCTACCATCATCACCTTTCTCCACCGAAGCCTCTCTTTCTTCAGTTGTGAGAACCTCTCTAAAGTCTACAAAGCATCTGGTGGGAGCTACTGATCTCTGCTCTGTTGGATTTAACAGGGCATTTCAACAACCTTTAGTCTCATTAAGTCTATTTTTTGTTTCATCTGGAGTAGGATCAAATCCATTACATTAAGGTCCACCAGTGGTACTCTGCTATTAGGTTTTAATTAGGAGAAACAAGAATCCAAATAGCTGCAACTTCCTGTCAAGTAACAATGAGAAGTGAAAAAAATATTCCCTTTCTCCCACTTTGAAAACAGTGAAGCATGCCGTTTTAATTTCACCACAGAAAGCACCAGCATGAGGATGTTGCCATGAGGGAGGTTTAAGCTCTTTGAAGTCAACATTTTATTTGTTTATTAAAAGCCACTGAAGTAAATTATGTTTTGTGTTTTAACATGAATAAAACAAGGTTTCATGAGTCCTCCTACTCCATGGTGTTATTTCAGCACCTCTACACAGCATTTCTACACACACAAATAAAAACTCAAAACTCTTATCAAAATATATTTTATTCTGGACTTTTGTTTCACGGATCTGACTTAAATGATAACAGATCGATGTGATGCGAGTTGCAAAAAGAAAAAAAAGAAAAAAAAAACAAAAACAAACAAAGGCTAAGACCCATCGGAGAGAGATGCTGCTGGGCTGACATGATGCTCTGTTATGGCGACACAGAGGCACAAAGGCTGACTTTGGCCATGTTTACCCAGACACAGTGTTGCACAGACCTAAGGATGGCATGGAGCCTGTGAGATCTCTGCATGAATGTTTGGGATTTGGTAACCATTGGCTCAAGTGCTTCAAATACAGGGAAGAAAAAACAGTTAAATATCACACAGGACTCTTAGTAGGAACACATAAACTCTCCGTAACGCCATTAGTAGGAATCTCCAATTTATTACAGTGGATACAGGAGAAGATGTTGAGTCGTAGTTGTACAAACGTTTGTGAGGAGCAGAGGTGCTCTGGAGGCAGATTTTGGTTTAATCAAACCTCAGTGATGCCAAACTAAAGCTTAAACTTTCACAACATGTTCAAACTTGAAATGTTGGGTTAAAATCCAATTACAAATATATGATAACGACTTGATCGATCAGCTGGCTTCAGTCAAATATTACCATAGAAAACATGGTTCTTTGGCTCCAGCCACTGAGGTTAAGCTCAAGTATGAAACTGCATTTGTCTCTGTTGAGGGAGTGTGTGATGGGACATTTTTAGCCCATTTCACATGCACATACATTTTATTTTATAGAAAGTGCTTCCCTACTTCCTTTGTGACCAGTGATTGTATTGGAGATAAAAACAGCCAATCAGAAATCACCCACTTCATATATCTAATTGGCTAAAATGGAAGCACACTGTACGACTACCAGGTTTTACAAGAGTGCACGGAAAACTTCAGAGTGCACAAAGCATACAGACACTGTGGAGCAAGTGTTCAAAGGTTTGGAAAAAAAAACAAAACGTGAAAGTATATTAATGTGCACTTATGTGAACTATAACAGCCACACAAACACATTTACTGAGCAGAGAATACATTTGTTTTCAAATGAAATTACTCTTTGTGAGATCGAGGTTTCTCTATAAAATGTAATTGACTGAAGAAAATCTGTTTACGGGCTCAAAATGTCCGACTGCGCACTCAGAATTTGGACACAAATATGACTCCATACTGAACCAACGTGATTATATTTGCTTCCAGAGCAACTTTCTACTCAGAACATCTGTACAACTCCCGACTTTACCTACGAGAAAAGAGGGGACGGAAAAATTCCCCAGAGTCTTGGCTTGATTGGAAAATTACAATTTTATTCAATTTGTCTTCTGTATAAGCCAAGAGGAGTTTCCTGGGACAAGGCTTCCCAAAAAGATTCAAGCAAAAAGAAAAAGTCAAACATTTCTTTATTAAAACATAGACAAATTTAGTGGTAATTTGCTCCTGGGAAAAACTTCCCAGGCAAGGTGCCTTCAGAATGACAGCTCAGCTCAGTAAGCCTTACATTACAGGGTCAACCTTTACTATTTGCAATAGCATCAAAGTAAAAAAAAAACAAAAAAAACAAAATCTTTAAAATTTATAGAACATGTAAATTAACACTGCCAATAAGTCATTAATTCACTTCTTTTTCAAATCTACAAAGAAATTACAAAAATGTAACTTTAAATTTGTCTTTAAAAGAGTATAAAATGTTTTGTCAGTAGGGAACCTCAATAAAACATGGGCAGAATTTTGGTGAAGAACCAATAATGAAGGTGAGAGGGTAGATGAATTAAAATACATTAAAAGTACAGCTTGTCGCTTTCTGGTTTTAATTCACCATGACTGTCATGTTGTGGGAAACAGACTCTACATTTGATCTTTAGACAGAGATTTTACATCTGGTTTGTTTATGTCCTTTAACGCTCCAACTGGGTTATGAACAGCATAGCTGCAGTGTCGTTATTCCCCCACATTATTCACCACACCTGGTAATAAAAGCAGATAAAATTAAAATGTTCAGATATTGCTTTCTTGTTTGATCAGCTTATGGGCTTGTTTCTGAATAGCAACCTCGTTCCAGAGATCAATCAGTAAGATTCAACAGGAAAAGAAAATACTATCCCTTATGTCTGCGTGTACACAGGCATGAGAAGGTGATTTTAAGTATTTTTGTGATGTGTGAAGGTGAAAAGAATGTGTCTCTTTCTTTTCCTGTGCAAAGCAGCCTGATGCCTGTCACACTGAAGCCCTCCACGCCAGGCCAGAAAAATGTGTTGTTAAAAGTGTAAAATAAAAAAATATCAGCAGTTTAAAATTTCAGTTACACAAGTCTTGGAGGCAGAGCTGCTCTGGAGTATTAATTAAGTCACTGTTTAAATTAAACGTCCAACAGAGTGGAGCCAAGGAACACAAGTTTCCCACAGTGGAAGATGCAAACTGGCTGATTTGAATTTTCAAGACAAAACTTTGGTCAAAATACAATTTAAAAGATATTATTGGTGATGAAATTTTCCCATTCATTCATGACACAGCAATTAGGAGACAGAACAAACAGACAACCTCGTTACTTCAGGCAGGTATGGCGACTTTGAAGACGGAAGCCTAGCTAAACCAGCAAGCTTAGACAGCTACACTGAGGCTGTGTCCAAAACCACTTTCTGTTTACTTTACACTGCACTTCATTTACTCACTGCCATTTCATCTGAGCGTATTCTAACATGTATGTATTTATATATTTCCCTAAAAATTCCCAACGAAACAAAGACAGTACAGCGTCCATGTCAAGCACGCTACTTTGCTAACAATCCCATAGTGTGCCGCATTTGATAGCTGCAAAAATTTCAGTTGTGCCTCCAAAATCTCAATTCTCTGCTCGCTATAGAATAAAATACTGAGTTGACACGAAATTACATGTGTAGGAAATAATGAACAGGGGAGTGATTTTGAACACAGCTTTTATGTCCTAGTAGAGCTCTAGCGTCTGTAACATTAGCTATGTCCTCTTGTACTTGGTGGATTTTCTCTTTGGCTCTGCCCTCTGCGGTTTAACTTGCTGAGATTATTTCTGCCCCCTGGAGAATCTACCTCTGAGAATCTTCAATCTGTGGAAGCTAAAAGTAGCAAAACACTTTTAATGGGACGATCAGCTGACGTATTTCACCACACCACCTTAGGGCATGTGGGTTTGATTTGAAGCCTTTTGAAGGTGTCCATGGATCAAATTAGAAATGTTTCCAGTCTGATGAAATCAGCATAAAGGAGGACACTATTCAGAGTTATTAGGATGATTATGATGTAAATCTGTATGGTTTTTAGTAAAAGGTACAAAAGAACTGACAATCTGATTTGAGATGAGACCTGACGTACTGCTGCGTTACCCAAAACTCAGAACAGCCTTGAACATTCAGACAAGTGGAGGGAACAGTCAGCCTCTTGCCAATTTCAATTTTATCCAATCAGACGTGTAGCTGCTATGAGAATCCAGAGAGGAGAGCTGTGGATCGAACCATCTAGATCAAATAGTGCACAAAACAGCTGTTTTTAAAGCATCTAGATGTACATCATCAGTGTCATGTGCCCAGGTGGGTGTATGAGGAGAATCCAGAGTTTCTCGTCTGGAAAAAGACGACACAAGAATTACTGCATTTTGACCCACTCACAACTGCAGAAACCACTAGTGTAATACATGGGGGGAAAAAAAGCCTTTAGGTTTGTCACGTCGGTTTGAAATCATGACGAGGACACAGTTTATGAGAACAGTTTGGTGTGCATGTTCGAGTGTATCTGTGTGTATGTAATTCTCCACTTAATAAAACTCTCACCTGACCGGCCCCCGCCCCCTCCCCCAAAGATAGAAAATATAAAAACATTGAAACAAGAGATCTGAAATTTAAAAAAACTAAGTGCCATCCTGTTTTATGGTGGAGAAGTTGATATGTCTGCACAATGAGATCCAGCTAGTAACAAAGATCAACACTTTTTTCATTGTTTTTCATTTTGATGACGATGAGCATGGTTTAAAGATCAAAAAAGCAAAATAGCTTCCAAATTTGGTACATATACGATCTGTAACTTTTTTTTTTTTTCAGTTTTTTCTTTTTTTCCACTGCGTCCCTTCTGCATCTCTGTAAGAGTCTCCACAGATAGAGAGGGGCGCATCCATCTGCCCGCTTATCCATCCGTCTGTCTGTCTGTCTGTCTGTCTGTCCATTCGTCCGTCCATCTGTTCATCCCTGCGTCTGGACCTGCTGTGTCGGGTGCTTGCTTCCTGTTCCTGTTTCCTGCTTCCTGTTTGTCGGTGGGCGGGGCCATAGTCGTAAGCATGAGCAGTACGCAGGGCAGGCAGGGACAGTCATTTGGCTATGTACACATTCATGGTCGGTCCATGGCTTCCAACAAACAGCAGTACTATTTCCGGAGGTCTAGTACACACACCTGAGAAGGGAGAGCAAAGAGATCGGTCTGAAGAACTGAAAGAAAACTGACAAGAAAAGCTAGAGACAAGAAGACACGCCGATAAACTTCCATCCAAACAGTCCTGTGTAGACTTACAGATCCGTCTGATGCGCTGGCTCCCACTTTGTCCCCTGCTGCATTCCAGCAAACCTCAAAGATTCCCCCCGTCCCTCTGTAACTGTGGACTAAAGCGCCCGTCTGCAGACACAAGCGATAGAAGAATTATTTTTTAACAGTTTTCAAGAAAACCTACTTGTTTTTGGAAATTCCTGTTATCAAAAAGGAATTAAAGGTGGAGTGAGCGATTCCAATCCAATACACTTTTTGTCAGATTCAGTGAAGATCTCCTCATGGTCCCAGAGCTGTCCGTTGTGTGTGTGTGGTGAAAAAAAATCTGATGTTCCTACATAGCCCTGGCTCTGTAAATGGGAAATAAACAAAGTGGCTTGGACCAAGTAACATAACACTACTCCAGCCAATCAGGAACGAGGGTGCTTGTGCTTGTGTACAGGACAAGGGAAAGAAGAAGAGGAGAGATGGGGGAAAGGGGGCAGTTGGAGAAAGAGACGGTATTTGCACATTTTAATGGATGGTGTCAATTTAAGGATTACCAGGGGAAGCAGAAGGAGCGGCCTACCAGACTGTGGAGAGTTTCGAATGAGATTGGTTGCCACTGCAGACGAGGGACTGAAGGAAACATTAAGGCAAGTGCATGGAAGGAACATCTACCGGCGGCAGTGTACGCCACATCATAATTGCATTGCCAAGATGGAGAGATGGCTGAGGGACAGCCATAGAAGAGAAAATCAGAAGAACAAAAATTGAAAAATAAGTGCTATGATCAGGCAAGGGCAAAGAGCCGCACTGACATCGATGAGGTTTCCCAACAGTGGAGAACAAAGAGTTAGGCTGGGAAAGAAATTCAGGCCTCGACTTATCCACTGGGACTGGCCAGCAACCTGAATGACACGCACACAGAGAGGGCTGGTAAAGAGACTGACTGGGCCAGTAAAAACTTTATGGATGTTTTGACGGTCCACCAGCCCACTAGGATTTGTCCCAGAAGCCCTGCTGGAGAAACCTCAGAGAGCTGAGAGGCATGAAGACAGATGTAGAGGTTTCTGTTTCCATTTGACAGGTAGGTAACATTAATTTTGCTATGTTTCACAGAGCCAATAGGTCAGCATTGTTTTGTCCTGTTTGCTAATGTTTTTAATACCTAACCCCAACTGGTCGGTACCAGTGTCGTATTTGTGTCTGGTGATTTTAAATCACTTGCCCACAGATGTTTAGCTTACTTTCTAGTTTGCAAAGATACAGTACGTTGTTGGTGTGGCATTAGCTATAGTAGCACGAGAGTTTAGAGTATCACTGTTGTGCTGGGACTGGGACACGACACTGGGAAACCATGTTGTCATCTCTGCACGTTGGCTTTGCAGCAGCAATGGCAGCAAGTTTGCTTCCTCGTTGTTTTCTCTGTATCATGATATTTGTCTGTACAACATGCGACAGGGTTTATAGCCGCGAAGACCTAAAGACACAAGTTTGCGAGCACAGTGGATTTATTTGGTTGGATGCATAATTCGAAATGCTATGCTATGTAACATTACCTTTGTTATTAGCTTAGCTACAAACCTACTACCCTCTCTACTGTCACTGTAGTTTTGTATAAAACAATCTGAACTAACTCTCTTTAGTTTTTACTCCGCTGTGTTGATGGTGCTGTTTGTGTGCATGTCATTTTTTTTATGGCGATTTTCATTATTACATTTGGTATAGTATCCACTTCCATGCTGCATAAGACACTCTGCATTCCACCATTCTATCGTTGCTTTATCAATACGCATCCATGAGTGGATGCGTATTCTGGACTGGAGCACTGAGGGGAGGGGTGTATTTGTTTTGCTGTTGAGTTCAAATATCAACAGAACTCCACCTTTAAAAGGCTATTCAGAGTTTTGAGTTGTACAAGTTACATACACATTCTCCACCTACCTGTGTATTCCAGATGTGCACACATTTGTCAAAGGAGCCACTGGCCAGATGCCGACCATCAGGGCTGAAAGCCACACTGTAGACTGGCTCCTGGTGTTTAGTCAGCGTATGGATACAGATGCCTCTCTCCACGTCCCAAAGACGAACTGTGGAGTCAAACGATGCACTGTGGAAGTAGGAGACAGGGATAAACAGGGTCACGAAGGTGCTGCTGTTGGATCAGGACATACGCACAGTAAGAATGAGAGAGTTATCTCAACAATGAAAATTTACTATGCAGAAATGTGGACAGATACAGGTTGCAAGTTTCATTCGTGTTAGACATCAGATTGTATGACATTATTAAAACTTTTCGAGTAGTCAAGTCAAAAACAACAGTATGCAATCATAAAATTATTGCAGCCATTGCAATGTCATGCAGTCGCAATTACACCACTCTGCAGAGAGCTTTTAATTGGAAATGACAGATAAAGTGGAGACGCTGCTGAAAAAAATCCAGGGAGAAACACACAAATTTAATATACTGTCACATAGAACTACTAATATTAAGTAAAATCTATAAGACAGGTTGCTAGTTAGATAGCAATCCCACCATTTAGATTGCAGTTGCACTGTGTACTGAACATTTTTTGAGCTATAATCATTAAATGCTAAAAATCCAAGTAATGTTCTCTGAATTGCAATTTGGAGGCTTTCATGAATTTCAACAGCGAGCAAGGAAAACAAATAAAGTGAGCATTTAATTTAATAATGTTAGCATTTTCATTCCCAAAGCCCACAGTATTTTTCCTTGTAGGACACCAGAATGTTCAAACTCACAACATGTGTGAACTGCAAAACTTTTCCTTTCAATTTTAGGGGGACAGCTCTAGCTCCAAATCAAATGTATTGGCTAGCACAATAACCAGTAGGCTAATTAAGTAAAGCAAATGCTACCTTGTACAGCAAGTTAAAAAGGCTAGAGTGTACTTATTTCCTTCTTAGGTTTCTAACTAACATAACATTACTGATGATGTTTTTGTTTGTAATAGACACACAACCTGGCTAGCATGAGGTTAGCACTGGGATTGTTGGTTCCAGGGCCGGTGGGACTCCACTTAATGGTGTAGATTTCTTTACTGTGGGCCTGCAGGTCATGGACACATGAGTCCTGCTTCATACTCCAGATCTGAAAAAACACACAAACCCCAAAGCAAAGATCAACAACTTTATCAATTACTTTAATGAATTTTCAAGTTGCAGGTGCACATACAGCAATTACACAAAGAAAAACATCTGGCTTTTTTCAGTCGAGCAGTAAAATTAGGATTGGGATTTAAGGGTCAGTGAGATGGATTTTCCTTGCCCCCAGCCACCATGAATACATCATTACTTTCTTTATGGCCCAGCACTTTCAGGTCAAGGGTAACAGTGAGAAAAATGGCACAAGATGTCCAATATTTCACCAGGTTATTTATCTCTCAGCTCACCTTCAACGTCATGTCATCTGAGCAGGAGGCTAGCAGGTTCCCTGTGGGATCCCACTTGATTGCATTTACTTCATTCTGAAGAAAGAGAAAAAGGAGCGTAGGTGAGTACAGTGAGTCGTGCTTTTATGTCGTCTGGCGTTTCTCCAAGATAGCATTTGAAATGAAGGCAAAAGTAAACGCTAAAAATGCAAAATTCATCTTGAGGTCATTATGTTAAACCTAATGCCAATGTGATACTTACAAATACTCTCATCCAAACCAGTTTAGACCAACTATTCATTTGAACAGTGACAGTTAAAAATGTTCAATCTCCTTTGGGCGCTTTGGACCTTTCAAAAGTTATGCAACAGTAATGATGAGGGACTGAATATGCAATCGCACACAAACAAACCACTCACTGTGTGTCCCTGGAATGTTTTAATGGGTCTGTCCTGTCCTAGTTTACAGACGTGGATGCACATGTCTGTACTGCAGGAGGCAAACGTATTGTTGCTTTGCCAGTCCACATCTAGTGCTGGAGCTGTGGGAGATGAAAACAGGGATGACGAATTATACTGAGACACTACAACCAGGTTGACAGCTAATACAAAACTGGAAGTGGAACAGTGGTGAAGATGCTTTTATACCTGAATGGAAGGGAAATTGTTGTTTGGCTTCTCCTGTATGGGCATCCCATATGATTGTTGTCTGGGAGGAAATATGTTCAAGTACAGTTAGAGCTAACAATGACTGTGCAAGTGCAACTTAACCTAATAACTGAAAGATTTCATGAGAAATTATGCAACATTTTTTTTAATGTGTCAACTTCTGATTCTGGTTTACCTTGTCTACTCCTGCACTGAGGATAAAATTGCCTTTTTTATTCCACTTGAGGGCAAAGATGGGACCTTTGTGTTGGCCAAGTGTACTGGCCAGGTTACCTGTGGAGCAGAAAACAGAAAGTAAATGAAATCTCCAAGAACTCCACATTAAACAACAACAAGAAGCCACTAAGAGTTTAAATAACAAAATGTGTCATCGCCTGATGGAAAACACACAGCAACCTAGACGAAATGATCCAGCAGTAGTATGCAAACTTGCCGCTAGGTGGGAGCATTGTACAAGGATTAACTGAGCCATGTGGTGTACATACTGTACTACAGGTTCAGTAATTAATTAAAGCATCAAGAAACATCACACTATAAACATCATTAGGGTTTCCATGGCAATACTTGTTAATTTTTAACACTTGCTAGTACACAAATATTTATAAGAAAACAATTTTATATTACAGAGAACTGAAAGTTGAAACAATATTTTTCACAGGGGTTTCTTTAGATTTAGTTCCATAAATTGAAGTCATCTCACCATCCTTGGTCCATATTCTGGCAAATCCGTCATAGGAGCCTGTTGCTAAAAGTGTGCCCTCGCTCTGTCAGAGAGAAAGAGAGAGAAGTGTCAAGTGTGTGTGTGTGTGTGTGTGTGTGTGTGTGTGTGTGTGTGTGTGTGTGTGTGTGTGTGTGTGTCTATTCCTGTCAAACAGATGAGTTTTCCTTCAAAGCAAGATCAGACATGTTTACAGACCCATGTTGTCTTTTTCAGCCGCAGTATTTGCCTGAAGAGTCCAGGCTGAATGAACATTTGCTGTGATTCAGCTGGTTATTATAAAAGAGGCCTGTGTTTTCCATCAGCATGGACGCTTTCCAGGAAATTTTTGCCTCTGCCCTTGGCTCGGTTTTGCAGCCCATTGGCTGAACTGAAGGAAAATTCCACTCTGTGATATTCCGCTGTTAGATATCGTCAAAAGTTATGTTCAGTGCTTGTTGGGAGTTCCTCTGTGATGGAAGCGTTGTGTAATTTGCCATCCTGGTGTTTACAGGACTGAACATGCAGTGCATTACTGTATGTACACAACAGTGTCCTGCATGTTTTATTGTTGTATATGCGCGCGTGTGTGTGTGTGTGTTAGTGTCCTTACATTCCAGTCTAGTGAGGTGACATCTTTGTTGCTGGGGACGTCCTGTCCTCCCTCTCGTATGCAGTGTCTCAGGACCAGTTGTGTGGAGCTGCTTGTACTGTTCTCGCTCAGGTTCCAGATGCGAGCCGTCGAATCACCAGACCTGAGACAGACAGACACGGACATTTAGGCAACTGTCTGTCCTGGACAACATATAGACATTAGCCTAACTGACTATCACAGACCAAGTATGTTACCACAATGGTTGTTGTTTTATACAGCATTCTGAAGTTTCAGCAGTGAGGTATTATTCCTTATTTGATTTAATTTTTATCTCCACTTTTAACTCCTCTTTATTAGTTTTTTTTTTAATTATGATTTGCACAAAACGATAACACAATCATAAAACCATACCACAGAAAGTCAATTAATAAATCAACAGAAAAATAACAGCACATAATTACTTCAGTTAATTATCAAGCTGGCTCCAGTTTCTCCTCTGTTTTATTCCACTGTAAGAGTGGGAGTAGTAACAACAACAACAATAATAATAACAATAATAACAACAATAATAATAATAATAATAATAATAATAATGGGTATTGTGCTTTAGTATGAACAATAGAAGGAAGATTTCACTCTAGGCTTTGGGAAATAGGCCTTTTCCCCGTTTTCTGACATGTTGCAGATTACATCATTTATAGAAAACATAAGCAACAGATAAATCAATAATCTAAATAATCTTCTGTTGCAACCCTAGCTATCACTGAAGCCGTAGTCTGTAGTTTTTGAGTAAGCAAGGCACAAAAGCACAGAATTCATATTAAAACTATGAGTATTCACTGGTTTTAATTATAAAAAGTGAGAGACCACAGGAGTCACAGGAGCGAGGTATGCAAGGGAAGGTGACTCACCCTGACGCCAGCAGATCGCTGACTGGGTTCCAGGCACAGATGAAGACCTCTGACTCATGGCCCCTCAAGACCATGGCCTTGTTCTGAGGGATCTCAACGTCTCCGTCCACCTCCATCAGGTCTGCGTGGTTGTCTGCGCACAGAGTTTGGTGGGTAACGCACAGTTAGGAAAAATGTCAACAAGCCAACAGCATACAGGCAGTATATTGTCCTTACACTTATAAGAGTAGCTTGACGAAACAGTCAAACTAATTTTAACTGTATGTTCACTTAATTCCACTTTGTAACACTCGTATTCCCAAGGTCAAATATTAATTTTCATGCCGAATGAAAACACTTTTTCATAAAGTGAGAAGTAGCTTTGTCACCACAGGTAACGAACTACCATTGCACAATGCTTCTGTCATATTACACACTTGCTAAGGCATGGGCTCCATTCTCCTCCCCGTTGGCAGTATTCTCTCCGTTCTTAGCATTGCCGGCGATGCTGCCTCCAGTGGCTGATGCCGGTGCTGAAGTGGCAGCCTGCTGCTGGGCCATTTTGTCCCGGTAGGCCTGCTGCCTTGTCTGAACGACGTCCGGCATCACCGCGTCAATTAGGGACAGAGACTCAATGGGCCGCCCGTCGAATAACGTCCCATCCTGGAGAATGGGAGGGGTCACCATTTAGAGAGGAAACACATGGAGGAGGAAAGACGTTTTTCTGTAATCTTGTTTGTGTCCCACCTCATTGATGCTGACTTCAGCCTCAACGTACTGCAGGCCCTTCTGGATGATGCTGATGAGGGCAGCAGGGGGAACCAGAGCACCATTGATGTTGGACTGACTGATGTGACTCTCTATACCAAATGTAAATGCTGAGTGGGAGAACCCTGGAGAGGAGAAGACAGGGAGAGAGAGAAGATGAGATGGAGAGTACACACACACACAAATAAAACATATTTCTATATCTAGCTCCTCTATATCTATAAAAGAAAAGAATAATAAAACTAATTGTTTGTGTACTAAATTACTAATAACACTATTGAGGTAGCATTTATTTTGTCTTTTTAATAAAAATATCAAAATCATGTTCCCCCTCACATTTATCTTTTACTGTTTTTTTTTTTGTTTTTTTTTACTTTTCATTTATTTTCAGTTTCAGTTACTTGTTAGTAAACTTTTAATCAATTTTACTAAATGAAAAAAATTGGAAAATAATTTATGGTGATGTATTTGGCAAATTCTTCCCATAGATCAGATTTGTGCTGCAGAAATAATGAGTCTTGTCACTAGACTTTACATAATTTCAAATTATGTGTGCCGGCTGCCATATCAAACCAATAAATCATCTGATTAAATAATAACATAAGTGTTACGCATTCAACATGATGCTGTCAATTGATATCCACAGTCGCAGTGGCTCAACATTTTAAATAAGAGAAATGCAGACATGATGAATATAAGGACTTGAGAGGATACCTGACTCCTGTAGGTATCTGTAGACCAGGAAGTTGACCTCATCACTGCTAATGCTCATCTTTACTCCTGTTACACCATGAGGTCAGCACGCACACACCTAGCCTGAAAAACAGAGAGATTCATCAATGAAGACCACACACACAATAAATGTGACCACAGTGCAATAAATATCGAGACGTCAGCAGTTTTCATCGACCTTAAATTAAGACTAACTTCTTATAATATCAGGCTGCATTCAGACCCACATTAGCACAGTGAAATCTGAACCTGCCTCAACTTTTGCCACAACACAATGGAATGTCAACCAGCAAGGCGCAAGAGCACATTCCTGGTAGATTACATTGTGATGTGAACACCGCAGTCTACGGTTACCTTGCGATCGTCACAATGAAAGATTAAATGATTACCACTTTGATAAATTTATAGTATTATAAATCGCAGTGCGTGTGTTAAGCCTCCAAACTCATGGATTCATCACCCCAACTGGATTTCCTGGGTCATATTTCATTGGTATATAAAGCAACACATCCCCACCAATCAAAACCCCTTGCAATTCAAGTGTGGCTGTTTTCAGTTTATTAGTAATCAAGTAATGTAAGTTAACAAAGCTTCCAAAAAGTAGCCTATGTAGCTACTGCTGCCTCTGTCTGTCACTGTGATCCCTCAAGAATATCCCGCATCACTTCCCCTGACACAACATGTGGTTGACAAACCGGTCAGCTCCGCCAACATCATTGTCATCTTGAGATCTATTCACAATGGGTGCAGAATCAAGACAGTAAGTGTAATAATAGGTGTAAAGGTGAAGGTGCTGACTTTCTCCTGTATCCAGATACAGATTAGATGTTAATGGCAGGTTGAAAACATGTGTAATCTTCCAGTTTCAGTGGGAAGCCGATGGACAGTAAAATGTGACATACTAATTAACATCAGGTATATTGTCGTTGAGTTTACAATCTGTCATCTGTATTTCCCGTATGAAACAAGCAAATGCTGACTGTGTGCTGATGTGTGGTACCACTACTGCTCAGGAAGTGCAGTCAACTGGAGATGTGATGACAAATCTATGAATTGCATTTTTCCTCAGCAGTTCTTAAACCGAGAACACTGGACTTCCTTGGGGTTGAAAAATCAAACCTACACCCTGAGTTGCTTCTGCTCCACCTGACCAGTTATAAATCATTTAATGCACCTTTACGAGTACTAAACCACTACAAACTGAAAAATACAAGCAGGAGACAAACCACCAGGACTGTACTATGATGCCTCATCTCTTGTGACATCTTGCATGTGCATCCAAGCACATAGCAGAGGATCATGATTCAACATAGCTTTTATCTGTTTCATGAACCAAAAGGATTGGGAACTACAACTTTAAAAACTGTGAGAGCCAGAGAGCTGATTCCAAATAAGGACCAGCTCAGAGCCTGTTTCCCCTGAGAATAATCAGCCATGTAGTGCCTGGAGCTCAGTGTCTGCAGTGTCCCACCCCCCCCC